TATCTATACAAAACCTCGTGTTTGCTATAACGAAGACTCGGATTCAACGAGATTTTAGGCCAGGCCCGGCGACCTCGTTGAATCCGAGTTCCACTGTATCAGATTTGTGTCTGTGACCTTTAGCAGTAGATAGAAATTGGTAAAGGGTCTTGATTAACTTGGTTGATATCTCTCAGTAGTCAGAAGTCGCCTGCAGAGTTCTGTATAATGTAAGTGGTTTTTACGCCCCCATCAACACAATGTAGACAGTTTAGGAGGCAGGCTTCGACTCTGTCAGTAAAAGCCAATCTATGCTAAGAGAGATACACGTCCCAGCAGTAAGACTGAGATACTCAATAAAAATTTCTCAGTGGGTGGTTGATGGGTGCTCTGGTGTGGTTTGCTCTTTCTTTCTTATTAAATATCTATCATCGTTATCTCTCCTCCTTTTTTTGTGTTTCTCTCTTGTAACACTAACACTTCTAATTTTCGGCACTTATTTGACCTTATTGTGTTGCAGGTGCCAAAAAACTCTTACAAAGAAAGAAAATTCCTCCCCTCAAAATTGGGTCTGGGGGGCTCTCGTGGTCTAGAGGTTATGGTGTGCGCCTCTCATTCAATAGTCTCGGGTTCGAAATCTGACAGTGACGGAAAATTTTCTTCTCTAGAATTTTCTCCTTTCACCTCCTGCTCTCTAGCTAACCATGTTCTGTCGTCTGCTTTCGTCTCTACTTTCTACTCTCCCCCCCCCCCTTTTTTTTGCCCCCTCCTCTGGGCTCCTGGCTCCTTCTGCAGCCTTTCTACTGCTACTCCATGGCTACTTCTTACTGCTGCCTTGCGGCCACACCCTTGATCTTGGAGTTGGCAAGCAATTCTCAGATAGGGGCGAAAAATCTTGGAGGTCGCATGAGCAAGTTGCGCATGTTAAAGATCCCTTGTTGATCCAAAATCAAAAAGAGTAAGTAGGCTTCGGCCGCCACCCGCAAACTATTCAAAATTTATTCCTACCAAATTGAAAATGTTTAAGTTTAATGTGTCCCGCGCACTCATATGACCTTTTGCAGTTGCGAGCGCCGTGCAACACTTACCCAACCCCTCCCCCCCTCCCAACCCCCCCCCCCCCAACCTGGGTCTTCTGCGTGCGATAGCATTGCGACTATATTTGATTACCGCAGATCTTTTTCCAGTGGGCTGTTTTCCTGACACTGAGATGGAATTGATCAGTGACCCCAACGCATGTCTCTGAAAGTTTGTGTTTTGGTAAGCGATCATACAAACAGGAGAAATGTCTTGGCTGAAACAAATTTTAATAATCTGATGGATCGAAAGCAGGTTCATGCGCTGCAAGATCTCTGTTATACATATCTGAGTGCGCAAATTGAACGAAAATTAGTGTTGTTTTGCATTTTTTATTTCTCAAACTAAAGTCAATCACAATAAAAATTTTCTCAAAGTACAAAAATCTCTCAACAAAGTCCATAGTCCACGTCTAAATATACCACATAATTAGAATTGTAATAATTTAATAATAACTTCTAAAGCACCCACTGGTACTGGTAGCTCTAGGTGCTTCAAAACGAAATAACATTTGGACAACTTGCACAACATCACATTTTATTCATATCCACCCATTCATTGTACAATACAACAACCCTTTCAATTCAAATATTTTAACCACCAAGTTCTGACTAAAGAACACATCGGAACATGAAAAGACAATCACTGTGGCTGCTGATCATGCTTGTTGGAAAAAGAATCAAGCAAGCTACAAATATGATTCAAACAAATTCAGTTCATCCGTTGACCAGTAGGCCTACTGTTTTAAATGCAGTCAAAGTAAGCACCTTCTTGAATGCAGTCACGAATGGGAATTTCACACCGAGGGAGCAAAAGTCAAAAAGCCATACCTCCAATTTCTACCATTTTCTGAAGTTATTTTTTGTATGGACTAGATTTTGAAACGGTATAAAATACTCCTGAAGCTTGTACAATGTAAATTAGAAAGATATTGTGGTACTAGATTGTTTAAACACTTAAAACTTACAGCATATTACTGCAACTTAACGTAATTAAACACAGTCTTTAACAAGGAGCCTATGTATAGAGAGATGTAAAAGCAATGATGCTGTACGTATGTTCCCTTAACCTTTGAGAAGAAATCTAGCAGCTTGGTTCTTTAGTAGAGTCTTTAGAAAGTACTTCCATTACTTCTGATACCACAGTTAGTATGTTTATGAGGATTGGGTTGTAAGTCTATACAAGATAATACAGATGATGACATTAAATGTTTGGAGTATTTGAGAGATGACTCTCATAAAAAAAAGTTGCCATAAGTGCAATTCTTCTAATCTTGAAATATGAAGTCTCACATAAATTTTGGACTTACTGGTGCATAGACAATTTGATATAAATCTATATATAAATACCTCATAAATGTTTGGCCTTTTCCGTAAAAACCAGTGTCAGTGTATTTTAATAAATCTTTGGTTCAGTTGTCCCTTCTTTTTTTCCAACAGGGAACAATATAGGCCTACATAGAAAAACAACTTTTAAAACATTTTTACTTTGGTTGTTTTTTTTAATCACCTATTCACATTTGGGTGACAGTTGATATCAACAAATTCGTATTGGCAGAATAAAATTGAGAGATGAAAAGAAACATGCAATTCAACGTTTGTAAAGAAGTTAGAAAAATTGTCTTAATTAAGTACTTCAAAGTCTTCCATCTTTTCATTGCTGATTATGAAAGCAAACCAAACAGCAGCCAATTGACCATGAGATCAAATATCATCAAAACAAAGAAGATGGGGATGGATCAGACATGCACTCAGAAAGCCAGCCCACAATGTGGCAAGACAACGCCTGTGATGAAACCCCCAGGGGAAGAAAAAGAAAGGAAAGCCAGGGAAACAGCTTGCTGGAAGAATAGAAGATCCTCCAGAACAAAGATAGAGGGCTCTTTTTAGCAGCTATACCCAATACTAGGGAGAAAAAGGTGAGTGATCTCTGTCCTTATGCTGAGACCGAGCTTATGTGACCTTCACAAGAATCAAAGTAGTCTGCCTCCTAAATGGTCTGAATTGGTTCTATTGGGGCATAGGAAGACAACAACAAATCAATAATGGTGAACCTTATATAAAAACTGAACATCCACTACAATGACTAAACTGACCACAGACCTTTCACACTATTTAATTTAAAGTACAGTAGAATAATATGCAGTACCAACTGGAGGATAGGTCCAGCAGAGTTTCTCTACTACCTTTGGTTTCAGTGCATACCAGTACACCGTCTTTGGTACAACTATTAACCAACTGCCCAAAACCGATCACCCAATGCACAGCCTTGAAAACAAACGCATTAATTGTGATTGAAGGTAGGCCTACTCATCTGTTTTGCCCCTCCGGTGGAGGACAACTTGGCTAGCCCCAAACTGACAAAACCGAACTGAATTAAGTGAACTGATGATGCCACTGGGCACCGCCTATAAGCATGTATTTTGTCAGCCAAATGTTTCCATGCAAAAAGTAAAGTTGTTCCCGCACCCGTTCCAGACATTGGAGATTGCCTTGTTAGTGAGACAACTTCCTGGGTCTTCAGCACAATGTGGTAGGGCGGCCAGTTCCTTTCCACACCGCCTTTACTTCCCCAACTCAAAGTCAGGTACCCATTACTGCTGGGTGAGAAGGAGGGGGTGAAAAAAATCTGTGTCCGAACCAAGGCTCGAACCCGGACTTTCCGCTTCGGAGACGAGCGCAACTTACCACTCCGCCACCGCACCCTCATTTCGATGTACGAGAAAATTTTGAATTTTGTTGTTGTTGCAATTTCATAATAAGTCAAATAAGTGAGGCATCAGTGGATGTGCTCCATTTACAGATCCTCAAATTTAAAGGTTGAAGAAAAAAACATGAAAAGATATGTAGGCCCTAATCTAATGTAAATTACAGGTTTAAAAAAAATTTTTTTTCTCTCTCCTGAAAAATATTGGCTTTGTATTAGAGCAACTGAACTGCTAGCTGACGATACGTGACAGCTTGTTCAGTGACTGACAAGTAGGCCTATGGTAGCCACAGAGTAGGACTACAGGGAGAAGGCCAACCATCACACACATGGCAACATATCTGAAACAAACCACACAGCAGAAACACATTTACCCGAAGACTTTATGGTTGAACTGTATAACATGGATGGCTCGAATTCATCGGGACCGGCCTCGAGGATAAAGAAGAAAAATAAACGGGACCGCACGCACAGTTCGACGGATGCGTGATATGAGAGTCTTCTGTGTTGAAGCAATCCGTGTCGTTAACTTTGCGATTGTTCCAGTAAAGAGAAGCACATCAACACAATCATGATTATTTAATGCTGGGTAAAAATAGACAGATGGGCAGAAACAACATTATCTCGGTTTTTCTGCTGGGATATTGTATCCCTCTCAGCCCGTCTTGGCCCCGACAGTCAGGGTCAGAAGCCAGCCTCTTAAATCAAAATGATAAAAATTGTGTTGATGGGAACATAAAAAACACATTTGTCAAAAAGACTTCTCTTTCAACACATGTGATCTAGGAGGCCGGACCTCCAAACATAGCATCCATCTCTAATAGGACCGAGCCATGTGCACAAAAAGCTTTGAATACTCTTTAAACAATGCTATGCACGTTCAAGAACGTATCAGAGAGGATAGAAACCAAAGTCATCTTCACCACAGCCCAGTAAGATACAATGTGCCAACTGGGCTAAAGACTCACTGCAGTACGTCAAATGTCAAGAAAAAACAAAGTTGAAATAATTAGCTGCCGGAAACAAGTCAGAATCTGAGTACTGGCGTCAGCGATGGGGTGGAATTATTAGCTTGTAAACTAAAAGTAAAAGCTTCTACCTCTTGCGAATGATGTAAGTTTCATTTTCAAGCAACAAAATATTCTCTCAAGTAGATAGCTACTGTCAAAGTAGCCGGCGTCAATATGGGTGTAAAACCTTAATTACAACCACACTAAAAGAAGGATACACAAAGTAGACATGTCTCAAAATCGTTTATCATTCTGATTTTAAAAATGGCACAAAGGGTTGAAATCAAAAGCCCTTGTGTATGACTTCCCAAGAAGGAAAGCAAATGTACATTTTATCATTTTAATAGCGTCCAGTCATTCAAACTTCAATTCAATATTGTGATTGAAGATTAAAATGTTGCAAAATTATATCAACTTAAAAGATTTACAGCGCAACACAAAATCCATTAAGTTTGTCATTATCACAGATTGAAAAAAACAGTGTACCAAAACACAATCTTAATAAGGCATCCTTAAATCAGTCACAATATTGCTAAAAGAAAGTCTTTGTCAAAATGTATTATTTTTTCTCTTATCAACTGTGTCAACTGCTGACGAAATTCTGTTTATAGTTTAACCTCATCCTGAAGAAAAAGTCAATAAAAAATTCCTCAAGACACTTCACATTTTGATAACTTTTGGCAATCAGCAGATAAGCACATGTTTTTTCACTTTGCTCCCGCTAGGCAACTCAAGTGCATTAATTGTTCTAGTCTGACTGGAAGGATTTGGTCTGGTTGGGACTTTAAACAAGTCAACCCCCCACCTTCTTCAATTGCAAATATCTCGACTTCAATTCAAGATATGGGTATTTTGTATTTTTTCATTATAAGAAAAACACATGAACAGACTTCAACTCTTTATCTCTGAGGGGGGTAAACCAACTGTGCTGGGCCCTATTTTGGAATGAAATCCCAAATAGACATATATATGTGACAAAAGTGGTCATTAAATTTTAAGAAGTGAACCTATCTCGCTAGAATCTAGTTCTTCATCTACTGAATTAACTCCCGATAAAAGAGACTTGTTTTCCGCAATTGCTGAAAAGTAATTTGACATTGAAGTCATTGTAAAGGAATGTGCCTGAGCCGCTGCAACCCAATCACCAGCACAGCAGTTCCAACCGCGAGCTGCTTGCCGCAGATAAGGAGTTAAGGAGATACAATGACCAATGACTCCATTATATGCCAAAAAATTGACTAATACTAATACCTGACTCCCCCATGTCATCACATATTAATTTACTTTGAAGAATTGGAGCAATTTTGAAATCTGGCCAGACCAATCACTGCCATTTTAAAGCTCATAAAGAATTGGATAAAAATTGCACCAGTGCCCTTAAAATGTGCCATACAGCACAGATTCAATACGAAAAAAAATTAAATGCTGTTAGCTGAGGCACGAAGGGAAATTATCCGACTGGAACAGTGGAAAATACAAACTGTGTCAAGTTCTCCATCTCCATAGATGGGAATTTCCCAGAAGTATTTAACTTTTGAAAAAAGAGAACAATAAATGAAACATCCAGCTTTACTTCAGGAGAACAAATCTACCTCTTCCTCATCCTGGGCAAGGTTGTCCTGTAAATATTTCAAAATATCATCCTGACCCAGATTTGCCGCAGTGTCTGCAGCAGTGACACCAGCACTGGTTGAACTTTGTGTCTGAGAAGAAATAGCATTACCAGAGCTCCCAGAGTTTTCCCCTCCGCCAATTTTAGTTCTTGGTGCAGGTTTAGGCCTCGGAGCTGGTGTTGGTTTTTCGGTCGTGTTAGTCGAGAGTGAATTTGACGGTTTTTGTGATGGCTTTTCAGGTAATTTTGGCTTCGCTGAAGGTTTGGGCTTGGAAGGAACAGAAGGTTTCAGAGCTGCTGTCCTGGCGGTAGTTTCTGGCGCTTCTGACGACTGGCGTACCGATTCAGTTTCCTCCTTCTCAACTTTTTTCTTGCTAACATCGATTTTCATGAGTTCATCCAAGTCGTCTTCAATCCTGTGGAAGAAAATGTTTTAGTGTTTTAAGTAAATGCGAATTATAATGTGAATGCATTAAGCCTTGTCTCCCCTTCATCTTTTGATTTTATGGACAAGAGACATCTAAACAAAGTCTGAAAAAAAAAGTAGTAGAGGAAAATGCCGCCCAGTGCAGACTTGATTAATTCATTGATTCTGGATCAGTGGCATTTTTGTTTCTGGTTTTTGAGTCGATTGACACTTAATTGGCTCTTCTTGTTCCACGTTTCAGAGGATTGCGACTAAAAGGTGTTTTTGGTTCCATGTTTCAGTAGATCGCCACGTAAGTGGAGTTTTGGAGAAACGATTTTGTCAACCCCAAGCTCTACACCTGGTCCTGTGCTACATTTACTATTTATTTTCACCCATATTGTGATTCACAGTTCAGTTACAGATACTTTTGAGAGCTAATACTAACAAATCCATCAATATTTGTCTGAATTATACCCGTTTTAAGGTATTGAATTGTACCCCTATCCCTCCCCCACTCCCCCTCCTATCCCCCCACGTTAATAAGTCAGTGAACTATACATCTGTAGCTCCGCTCCCCTCCTTCCCTGAGTTACATCATACTTCAACAAACAAACATAATAATCATATTCAACAGAGGACAACTCACTGAAAAAGCTCTGAATGGTCTTCCTCTCCCTCATCGTCCGCTGCAACTGTCACTTTCTCACGCTTTGTGATGATGGCATCGGGAATGAAACCAAAATCCTTCTCGTCATCTTCCGTCAGCTCTCTCTTCAAATCCTGCTCTTCAAACATTTGAACTTGGCCTGAAAAGGGACAGAAAAATTAACCTGCATCTACAGTGGAATGTTGAGGTGTGGATGGTAAGAGTTTTCATCTTACATTTACATGCATAAAAGTGACTTGCTGATGAAGATGACTATCTTATCAAGTATCTCTGTATCCCATACAGTCCTCCTCGTCGGCCCTGACAGGCAGGAGAAAGTTGTTAATTTCCTAAAAGATAGATAGAGTGAAAACAGTCCTCTTCCTTAGTAAGCTGAAATGTGTCCTTGAAGCTCTGAAGACAATTGACTCCTACCCTAGTGATTCAATTCATATTTATACAGACGGGTCTGCCTTCAAGGGAACTATAAACGCAGGCTTTGGG